ATATAAACGATCCCTAAATTCTACCAGATAACTCCTTCAGCTGCTAAACACCTTCAGCAAAGTAGCTGGATACAAAATTAACTAAAAAAAAAAAATCTGAAGCCCTCCTGTATACAAAAGAAAAACAGGCTGAGAAAGAAATTAGGGAAACAGCACCCTTCACCCCTTCACAATAGCCACAAATAACATTAAGTACCTTGGTGTAACTCTAACCAAGCAAGTGAAAGAAAAAAAACTTCAAGTTTGAAAAAACCTTCAAGTCTCTAAAGAAAGAAATTGAAGAAGATATCAGGAGACAGAAAGATCTCTCATGCTCATAAATTGGTAGGATTAACATAGTGAAATGGCTATCCTACCAAAAGCAATCTACAGATTCAATGCAATTCCCACCAAAATACCAACACATTTTTTTACAGACCTTGAAAATAACAATTCTCAATTTCATGTGGAAAAACAAAAAACCCAGAATAGCTAAAACAATTCTGTACAATAAAAGATCTTCTGGAAGTATCTCCATTCTGGATCTCAAGCTGTACTATAGAGAAAAAGTAATAAAAACTGCATGGTACTGGCAGAGAAACCGACTGGTGGATCAATGGAATTTAATTGAAGACTCAGAAATAAACCCACACACTATGGACACCTGATTTTTGACAAAGAAGCCAAAACCATACAATGGAAAATAGATAGCATCTTCAACAAACGGTGCTGGTCCAACTAGATGTCTACATGTAGAAAAATACAAATTTGTCACCCTCTAAAAAAGTAAAGTCCAAGTGGATCAAATACCTCAATATAAACCAGTCACACTAAACCCGTTTGAAGAAAAAGTGGGCAAGAGCCTGGAACTCATTGGCACAGGAGACAACATCCTGAACAGAATACCAACAGCACAGGCTCTAAGATAAACGATCAATAAATGGGACCTCAATGAAACTGAAAAGCTTCTGAAAAGCAAAGGTTCAGAATGAAATGACAGCCTACAGACTAGGAAAAGATCTTCACCAACCCTAAATCTGACAGAGGGCTAATGTCAAGCACATATATAGAACTTAAGAAGGTAAACAACAACAAACCAAGAAATGCAATTAAAATATGGGGTACAGAGCTAAACAGAGAATTCTCATCAGAGGAATATCAAATGGCAGAGAAACACTTAAAGAAATGATCAACTTCCTTAGTCATGGGAGAAATGCAAATCAAAACTACTCTGAGATTCCACCTCACAACCATCAGAATGGCTAAGATTAAAAACTCAAGGGAGGATGCATGCTCTAGAGGTTGTGGAGAAAGGGGACCCTTCCTCATTTGCTGGTGGGAATGTAACCTTGTACAACCACTTTGGAAATCAATTTGGCACTTTCTCAGAAAATTAGGAATAATGCTACCTCAAGATCCAGCTATAACATTCCTGAGCATATATCTGAAAGATGCTAAAACATACAAGAATATTTGCTCAACTTTATTCATAGCAGCATTATTCATAATAGCCAGAAGCTGGAAACAACCTAGATGTCCCCCTACTGAGGAATGGATGCAGAAATTGTGATACATTTAAACAATGGAATACTACTTAGCAATTAAAAACAAGGAAACCATGAAAATTTCAGGCAAATGGTGGGAACAAAAAAGATCACCCTGACTGAGGTAACCCAGAAGCAGAAAGACACATAATATATATATTATGTGTGTGTGTGTGTATATATATATATATATATATATATACACTCACTTATTTAGTGGATATTACCATATAATATAGAATAAACATACTAAAATCTATAATCCTAAAGAAGTTAAATCACAAAGAGGACAGGAGAGAAGTTGCTCAATCCTCATTCAGAAAGGCAAACAGGACAGACATCAGAAGTGGGAAAAGACAACGAACAGGACAGGAACCTTCCACAGGGGGCCTCTGAAAGACTCTACCTATCAGGGTATTGAAGGAGATCCGGAGACTCATAGCCAAACTTTGGGCAGAGTGCAGGAAACTCTATTGAAGAAGAGAGAGATAGAAACACCTGGAGGGGACAGGTACTGCTTTTGGGAGACCAACAGAACCAAAAGACCTTGGGCCAGGGGTACCTGCAGAGACCAATACTCCAAGGAAGAACCATGCATGGAGAGGACCTAGGAAAGGACCTGCTCAGAGGAAATGGGTTGCTCAGTTTCCAAATGGGTTCCCTAGTAAGGGGGGAAGGGGCTGTCTCTAGCATGAACTCAGTGGCTGGCTCTTTGATCACCTTGCCCTAGTGGGTACAGCCTTGCCAGGCCACAGAAGAAGATGATGCAGCCATCCTTGATGAGACCTGATAAACTAGGGTCAGAGAGAATGGGAGAAGGTCCTTCCCTATCAGGGGACTAGAGAAAGGGCATAGAGGGAGAAGAGGGAGGGTGGGTGAGACTGGAAGGAGCCAAGGGAGGGACCTGCAGCAGGAATACAATGTGAATAAATTGAAATAATAAATAAACAGATAAATAGATAAATAAATAAATAAACTTCTATTTGTTCATTTTATATACTGATATATACTTCCTTACATTGTTTTTCACTGAAAGGCATTTTCAACTATATATTGTCTCTGCAAGCCATATGTGATCCATATATTTCCCTAGAACATAGTACTTTTATGACCAACACTCAGTTCATTGGTATGCATTTTACTGTATTTTATAAATAAAACAGAAACAGTGGGTTATTTAATATAAGAATATCCCAAAGAAATCAATTAAAAATACTGAACATATTTTTTCATTTACCTTAAATTTAATCTTTGATTGATGTCCTTATGTGTTGTCTCATGAGAAGTGACTAGTGAAGAATACATATATTAATGCAGAATTTAAAATATAAAGACGTCTCAGTGCATGATGAACTTAAAATTTATCTTTGCCAGTTGCATATAATGGTAAATTGTGAAAGTGCAGAGTTATGTCCTACATCTTGCATACTGACAATTTATGTTCAATTGGATTATGAAGCTCTTGTGTATAGTTTTGAGTCTTCTAATTATATTATTATAATCTTTAAATTTTGATTGGTTGAAAAGTAAACAAGATAAAATAAGTAAGTCAGTCAGAAATGTCCAATTCCAGACAGGATAGTGGAAGTAGCAACTATTTAACTTCTGCATACCACAATAAACCAATCTACACAAAATGTAATAGTCCTAATAAGAACTCCTGAAATACTGAGTTTGTTCTCAAGACAGCCAGGGGACAGAAGAAAAAAGGCAGATTGGCTTGGGGCCTCAGAATGTAGAAGGTGAAATGACAATGACTCTTTTTTTTGTTACTCTCTTTTGCCTTTTATATTTGTGTTTCAGATAAAGCCTCAAAGCAGAAAAATACCAACACCAGCAACAAGATTAACAATAATAAAATAACACCAAAAGAAAGCCAAAAGAACTGGTGAAATTGGTAGCCCAGTGAATAGTGTGTATTTTACTCACTCCTGTCCATTCTGGGAATGATTGTACAATTCATGACCCTTTTACCAGAGGCTGGTGCAGAAGGCCAGTGAGAAACAGCTCTCTGTAGGTGGCCTGTGGGCAGACACATGTCTGCCACGCACACTTCAGTAAACACAGACATCCCTTCTTCATTGGAGTTTGTAGGTTAAACTGACTTCCAACTCCCTTACAGGAGATAGATTCCTTCCCTGAAGAGACAACCACTGGAACTCTGACTGCTACTTCCCAAAGTCCCAAGGAAACAGAACCACTTTCTACACCAAAAAAAAAATTGACGGGCAGGGCAGAGATACTAAGGGTCAGCCTGGGGACAGAGCAGTACTTCCTTGTGGTTACAGTAATAGGTACCTTAAGCTTCCTATGTGATATAATATCATAGGGGCATAAGCCATAATGAACACTAAACAGAAACCAGAGAGGTGTGAAAAGGACTACATTTGAAATCATAGTATTATGTCAAAATCAGTAGTTTGTGGAAGAAGGAGGAGGAGGAGAAAGGGGAGGAGCAAGAGGAAGAAGGAGAAGATTAAGAAATAGAAGAAAAAAAGAAGCAGCAGCAGCAATTATATATGTACTGGAGATACAGCAATTCAGTTCTAGAATGTTTTCTTCTAAAACATCTGGGCACTATGGAAATCGGTGATTTTTTTAATAACAAATCTTTAAAAGTTCTTGGTTTGTCACTTGCAGAAAGTATCTAATACAGTTATAAAGCCATCTGAAACTGAAGAGTAACTATTTCACTGTAGCTTTCAATTTGGAAATTTCTATTCAAAGAAAAGCAACTATTTGTGAAACAAAGTAATTGTTCTCATCCCAATATTCTTTTTTTTATAGCTTGTATGAATGTAGTCATAGCCACAGAAAATTACAAGGTAAGTTCGCATGAATGTGGGATGAGAGAGAACATAAGTATGGAGGCAGACACTTTATTAAGCAGCATTTAAATATAGTTAATAAGTAAAAATGGAGGAACAGTAATATAAAGATTTTAGGAGATAATGCTTTAGTTGTATGTTATTTTTCCTAAGTAACCAAGCTTCCTTTGTTAGTTTAATCATCTCATTGACAGCTCTCCTTTTCAAATGTTGCAGTTAGAGGACAGGGCAGTTGTATGTTGAGCCTGAGTCCAAGGCAGAAATACCTAACAGGGTCATCATTAAAAATATAAAAAATGAAAAAATATTTTGAAGTATCTGTGTGTTCTTCATTAAGTGTCTTTATCTCCATGGTTACACTTGGTCATGGATCTAGTTAAATCCTTGCACACCAGTTTTCAGCTGAGTGAGAGTGATAGCAGAGCGTTCTGCTTTCAGGACAATGTTCTTCCCCAGAGCTCCCTGGAAGCTCTTTCCTGCAGTTTGTCGGTTCTAGTCTATTCTCAAGTAATTTAAAGAAAATCAACAACTTTAATTTACGTAATGAATAGCTTTAGCTGATCTTCAAAATATTAACTTTGTCTACAGACTTATTCAAAGGGAAGAATATCATTAATGAAATATTTGTTTTCCTTCTGTCATTACTTACTTCCTTCTTTCTGTCTCAAATCTGTGGAGTAGTTTTCGAAGACCACCATTCTTGAATCCCTGAAAATGGGCAGCTGGGGCTCCCACAGTGATGACATCGTAGAGAGCATCTGGAATGGAAACAAGTAGATGAAAGCTTTGCAAACATTTATTTCCTGCACACACTACGCGCTGAAGCGTCCATGGTGAGGGAAGTTGGAGAAATTATTCTGTTTCAATTTTTAGGAATAACTATAAGCTCTCATCTCAAGGGGAGCAAGAAGAACTAATCAATCTTTCTTAAAACAACCTGTGTGTACCTCAAAAAGTTATAATATTTCCAAGATTTATGACCTCACCTTAATTATATGCTACAGTGTGGAACAACATGTTCTCCTCTGTATAGTCACTGAGATAACATGTTAATTGGTCTTTTGTGTTTTTACTTTATTGAGTTTTGCATCATTAAATTTGTAATCATATTGAAATTCAACAATAATGAACAATTTCTCAACCAAAGCTTAAAGAGAAGAACCAAAAAATATTAATTTATTTTTGCTCAAGGGCAGAACAGTCTAGCACATTGAAAACAAAATTTATTCAGTCATTTCCTGCTTATCTATTCTAAAATTTACACAGTTTTAAATACATAACTTTGTAATTTCTTACAAAACATAGAATGCAAAATGTCTTGATTTATGTTTCCAGACAGATATGTTGCTTTTCATAACAAAAATCCATACATTTACAGTGAAATTTAATCTTTTGATCCTGAACTTTATGGCTTTAAAACATCCCATCATTTTTATATTCAAATGGGAAATATAGATACAAGGTAGGCAATGTGAATCTTCTCTGGTTAAACTACATTTTTTGTTGTTGTTGAGAAATATAATTTCACAGGAGATCTTTCTCAAATTGATTTTGATATTGACATATTGGTTGTTTCTAAGATATGGCTTACTGAGAAAACATAAATTCTTTAATTAGCCTCAGGAAAACATCATTGCTTCTTCAAAATTACTCAGTCTAGATCCATTTGAATTATTACTGTTTTAAATTAGAACATCTCCACTCTAAAAAAACAAGGTCAGAAGTAATAAAATACAATATCCGATGTGACCCAGTCAATCAATACAGCATGAATTTATCAATCAATTAACAGACTGTAATAATTACAATATGGTAATACTTCCTTAACATTTTGAAGTCATTAGTAAACTGGATTATATAGCATTTTCATGATAGAATATTTGTTTTATAAGAAATTGAATTATTTCTTAACACAGAGATTTCAGCTTACATTTTAGAAAAGGACTCTCATCCAAAGGATTAGCTTTCATAGTAGCATAGAAGGGACACAGAAGTTCATGGAAGGTGCCATGCAGAAAAGCAATCAAAGGTTATACTCAGATGTGAAGCCTAGGAACCACAATGACCATCTTGGCAAGAGATTACCAAGGATAGGAGCATAACTGTATCTGCAACTTTTTGCAGTTATATTAGTAATTATATCTGGGCTATAAGCAACAGATGACTAGTTTGACTTTGAACCTGCACAATAAATGGCATTCGTGCCTGCCCCTGAAACCCTAGCCAACGACTTGTATGGACCACAGAGGAGAACCTACTACTCTAGATTTCCCTAACCAGTATAACTCTAGTTCTTAATATGTATCCTCAAATAAGAGCAACTGTCACCCAGCTCTTTTCATTAGATGGAGACCATTATAGAAAGCCACAACTGGTCAAAACGCAAAGAACAAGTGCTGTTTTTTTTTAATTTTTTAATTTTTATTAATTACAGTTTATTCACTTTGTATCTCAGCTGAATCCCCTTCCCCAATCCCTCCCAATCCTACCCTCCTACCCTCTTCTTGTCCTATGCCCCTTCCCCAGTCCAATGATAGGTGAGGTCCTCCTCCCCTTCCATCTGACCCTAGCCTATCAGGTCTCATCAGAATTGGCTTCACTGTCTTCTTCTATGGCCTGATAAGGCTGCTCCCCCCTCAGGGGGAAGTGATCAAAGAGCTAGCTACTGAGTTCATGTCAGAGATGGTCCCTGTTCCTATTACTGGGGATCCCTCTTGGACACTGAGCTGCCGTGGGCTACTTCTGTGCAGGGGTTCTAGGTTTTCTCCATGCAGGGTCCTTGTTTGGAGTATCAGTCTCAGAAAAGATCCCTATGCCCATATCTTTTTGGTTCTGTTGTTCTCCTTGTAGAGCTACTGTCCCCTCCAGGTCTTTCTTCTCCCCCTTCTTTCTAAGATTCCCTGCTCTCTGCCGAAAGTTTGACTATCAGCATATGTTTTGAAACACTTCTGTGTAGAGTCTTTCAGAGGCCCTCTGTGATAGGCTCCTGTCCTGTTCTCTGTTCTCTCCCTTTTCCAATTTCCATCCAGTTTGCCTTTCTGAATGAAGATTGAGCATCTTACCCAGTGTCCTCCTTCTTGATTAGCTTCCTTGGGTGTACAGATTTTAGTATGACTATCCTATATTATATGTCTAATATCTACTTATAAATGAGTATATACCATGTGTGTCTTTCTGCTTCTAGGATACCTCACTCAGATCTTGATTAGTTCTTGATAGAAAATAAAACTTAAAAATCAAGCCTTGAATTAGGTGTGCTCTGTGCTACTGTAATGTCATACTTCATCATTCCTGTTGGTGGAGAGAATTAGGAAATGTGTACACTGGTTAACGACTGCACACCAACATCTGCTTAACTGATTCATCTACCTGTTTATTAGACTAACAACAACAACAAAAATGTGAGTCATGCTGCTATCTTTGACTTCAATCTAGAAATATAAAACCAATTCTGGGTTTTTTCCTCTACATTCAATCCTACCTTCCCTCCCTCATCTCCTCCCATAAAGAGCAAGATATGTTTCTTCTTGAGGGTAAAATTCCAAGTACTAAAAAAAGCAAAAGAAAAGAACAAACCAATTGGCTGTCCAATACCAAGTACTCACCTTAAAAACATACAAGTAACATTGTATGAACTAACCAGCTTGTATTTTTTATTTAGAAAAATATATACATATTATGTAACAAATAAAAAGACACCATGAATTTGAATGAGAGCAAGAGGCAGTACATTAGAGAAGTTGAAAGAGGGAGAAATGGGAAGCAGAGAAATGATGAAGATGATTCTCAACTTCATATAGGAAACAAGCAAACAACAACAAAACAGGAAAGCTAAGCAACTCTGAACAATAAAACTACTTCTGGAGGAACCACCATCACTCATTTCTAGTTGTACTACAGAGCTACAATAAAAAATAAAAATAAATCATGGTGTTGGCATAAAAATAAACAGTTCAATCAATGGGATCAAACTGAAGACCAGTACCTAAATCCACACACCTATGAGCACTTGATTTTAATGAAGAATCCAGACATACACATTAGGAAAAAGATAACATTTTTTTCCAAAGTGTGTTGGGATGTTCGCATGTAGAATAATGCAAATAGATCCATATTGCCATCATGGACAAAACTCAAGCCCAAGTGGATCAAAGACCTCAACATAAAGCCAGAAACACTAAACGTAATAGAAGAGAGGGTGGTAAATAACCATGAAAGCATTGCTGCAGGAGAGAACTTTCTAAACAGAACACTGACAGCACAGATACTAAGACCAACAATTAGTGAATGAGACCTCATGAAACTAATAGCTTCCACATGGCAATGGACACCATTAATCAGACAAAATGACAGACTAAAGAATGGGAAAAGGCTTTTACTAACTCCACATCCAATAGAGGTCTAATATCCAAAATACATAAAGAACTCAAGAAACTAGATACAAAAATAAAATAATGCAATTAAAATATGCTGTACAGACTTAAACAGATAACTCTCAAAACAGTAATCTTAAATGGTGAAGAAACACTTAAAGAAATGTCCAACATATCTAGCCATCAAGGAAATGCAAATCAAAACTACTTTGAGATGCTATCTTACACCTGTCAGAATGGTTAAGCTTAATAACACCCATGACAGCTTATAACAGAAAGAATCTGAAACAAAGGGAACACTCCACCGCTGGTGGGACTATGAACTTGTACAGGCACTACGGGAATCAATATGGCGCTTCCTCAGAAAATTGGGAATCAAGCTACCTCAACACCAAGCTATACCACTTTTGTTCATAAACCCACAGGACACTCCATCCTGCCATGAGGACACTTGCTCAGTGATGTTGATTGCTGCTTTATTCATAATAACCAGAAACTGGAAACAACTTAAATGTCCATCACCTGAAGAATGGATAAAGATTTGTGGTACATTTACTCAGCCCTTAAAAAATAAAAAAGGACACCACGGAATTTTCAGGCAAATGAATGGAACTAGAAAAAAAAATCATACTGAATGAGGTAACCCAGACACAGAAAGACAAATATGATATGTATTTACTTATAAATGGATATTAACTATTAAGTAAATGACAATCAAACTACAATGTACAGACCCCGAGAGGTTATGTACAGAGGAGGGCTCCAATAGGGACACATGGAACTCCTTGGGAAGGGGAAATAGAACAGATTTTATGGGTGGACTTTGGGCAGATGGCATGGGAGTTGAGGGATCAGGTGTGGGGGGTATGGAGTGAGAGTATGGAAAGAGACAGCTGAAATTGGGGCAATGTAGAGACCTTGTTCAGAAATAAAATAATATAATAACAATTTTAAATTATAAAAAAGGAGAAAGAGAAAGAAATCCAATGTCCATTTATGACTTTCAAATACTCATACAGTGTTTACATCAAAATATTTTAATGCTCAGATTAAATGTGCCATCAATAATTATAAATCAAAGAGGAAACAAAATTCAGAACTAAGTTTTAAATTTTATTTTTTTAATTAAAAATCAAAGTATAACCAATGTAAAAGAAGCTCTAAATAATCACTAGATATATCTTAAAAGAGAAATGACTATTAAGCATCACTCATATTTGACTTTCATAGAAACATTTTAACTGCAAAAATAGAGCACCTTCTCTAAATTCTACCAGTGTCCCTTTCGTTTTCCTACTTCTCTACCCAACTGTGATTTTCCATCAATACGAAGAAGTCTACCATAAAGAGATACCTAAAGTCTGTGTTATGGTATTGAAAAACCA